CCACATCATCTTCCGAATCATATTTTCTCTATTCCTTCGTTAGTCTTCGCAGAAATATTGGATAAGAATTAAAGTTAAATTTCAGCCAACTTTCTGGTACATTCTAGGTTTCGAACTATCTTTCAGAAAACTCAACTGAACATACCCTTTCACAGAAGGTCTTTGACATTTAACAAAACAAAATTCATCATCCTGAAAATCGTCCTAAAAATATGTTTGATTAACGTTGAGCCGAGATCTTATCGATTTCTAATTGTGACCTTGTTGTCATCGTGATTTTGAGGCAAACAGATCTTTAACATAGACGTACCTCAAATTTATGAAGCCATTACAGTTAGAAATGGCACTTGAGATTGATGTTGAAAAACTTTCGTTTCTACGGCAAAGGTCATGTTCCTCTTCGCAAGCAGGTCCGCCTCAACGAATGGCCTCCAAGTTTGGTATTTTGCTCCAACGCGTTTACAATCCGCGGATGGTTGCCACTTGAAGAAATTTTCAAGCAGATGTTAACAGACCGCAATTTTCTTTTCGGGCCATTTCATCAAACCTACCAAAGTGCAGATCTGTGAGTCACTCTGCCACTTCTAATGCCTTTGACGATGTTGTCAGCCCAACAGTGTAAAAGCGCCATTTTGCCGGCTCAAAAAACGACACTCCAAAATGAACCCTGAGAAACTGTAAAAAAGGCACTTGGACCAGACTCTCGCTTGGTTTGAAAAAATATGGTTAGATGGACTTAATACTTGGATTTAAGGAAAGCTTAGTTAATACATTTTATGTCATTCAGTGGATCGCAAGATCCACATCCTGAAATGTCTTTATTTTGCCATGTGCAATGAATTAGCAATATCCGCTCAGCGTCGCTTATTATTTATGACTGACCATATAGGATGATTTATCGTGCATGTACGACTCATTATCGATCGATGACGCACGTCCACTTTTGGGCAAAATGCATAGAAAGTGGCACACCTCTGAAGCAGACAATTGCGTAACGTATGAGCCTTATTCACTTCCGTGTCATAAGACGATTTTTAAACTTGAATCCGACGTTCTGCGTCCCTGAACAGAAGCCATCGTCAAAGAGATGTGAAAATTTTAAAATACAGTTATGACAATTTTGGAAAGACTTCTTCGCTGTGCGTTGTAAAGTGCGGAGTCGGAAAA